AAACAACAGTGACTTCAGGCTCCTCAATAAAACTGTGCACCCTTTAAATGATTCTGAACCAACACTAATTTTGTCAAATTCGAAAGTTAAGTGGTTCGGAAGTTTTAGGCGACCAAAGAGATGGACTTTCACAATATATGTAAAGATTATTAACAACGAGAGTTTTTTTTCTAATAATTTTTATTGAAACTGTTTTGTCAGAGACAAATATTCTGCAAACTTCTAATACAAATTTTCATCCATCTCGGAATATTACTTCCACCTCCACGTAGATGTGATTATATACACTGATTTATCTCCGCGCAATGTGAAATCATTTTGAAGTCGGGAGTGACAATTGCCTATACGTAATCAAATTAATATGGGACGAAAAACGGATGGGACGAAAACGGATACTATGAAATTCAAAAATGGAAACTGCGGAACGAAAACAGGTTTCCTCCAACTCTTCATGAAATTACAAGGGTTCTATCAGCATATTTTGGATACTTTTTGAACGATTAGATGTCAAAGTTTGTGAATTTTAAATACAGAAACAGATAGAACCTATTTTCATGCATTTCTTTGTGGAACTGACCCCCCCCCCCCCCCAAAAAAAAAAAAAAAAAAAAACCTCAAGTTTTTTTTACCTATATAGTAATACAGTTTATACGTTGTATTTCCTTCATATAAAAAAGTTAAATCTACCTAACTTAGTTTATCTAAAAGTAAAAGCTATGGCACTTTGCTATTCGTAGCCTCAAAGTCAAATAGTCAAATAGAACGAAGTACTGATCATCACCACATGGATGTTGCTGATACCTGGATACCTGGACGCAATATCTACTCAGAGACGGCTATGACGTCAAAATCAAAATGCTTTGTGTCTCAAGTCCAATTTTAAAAATCTGGGGGATTACAGGGGGGCAGGCCCCTGTTTTAACCCATCATTTAATATTTTGAAGCTAAGTTCGAAATTTTCTTGAAAATAATTGATTTGGTACAATTTTAGTGGCTATAATAAAAATGTGTGATCTGCAGCAAAGAGTACGCAGTTTGACCTCCCAAAGCAGTGCATCTGTGCGCGGAAGAACGTCTTCGAATAGTTCCTGGGTGCTCGCCGGAGACGTCTCCGAATATCTTCTGCAATACCTGGAGGTGTCATCTCTGACTCAGTGGTTGACGTGTGATGACCCTCCATCCTTCACGGTAACGAGTTGCCGTTGCACATTCTGCCATATCCAAGCCAGTCCATGTTCTTATGTTGTCCATCCATGTTATTTTTTGCCTTCCTCTCCTGCCCCACATCTTTCCTTCAAGCACCTCTTTTAAAATGATAGAACTGCCATA